CGTTTTTGTAATCGCGCATTTTCATCTTATGTCAATCTAGAAGAGTATCTTTCTGCAGTAGTTTTACCTAAATTAACGCTACTCAATAAGTGACCAGATTTTCTGTCTCACAGGTCGCCGTATTTTTCATAACTTGCATTCAAACATCCTTAAACATCGAGAGGAATATTATGAATTAATGACAGAATGGCTGGCTCCAGTGACGAGCATGCCAATAAGATGGGTACCATGCTACCAAAGCAGACTTCACGGATGGGCCAGTAGAACATTCCATTCAAACTGTGATGGTAAAGGTCCGACTATTACAATCATCAAAGTGAACAAATACATATTTGGAGGCTATACAGACGTCAGCTGGCGTAAGTATTCCAGTTGTTGATCTTTGCTATATTCGGGGGTTAACACAGAGCATCCATCACATTGGTACAGCTTTTTTATGCTCACAATAACGTATTATAATTGTTTTCTTTTTTAAAGATACCAAAAATTCTTACAGCAAATCAGTCAACTCGTTCCTGTTTTCATTCGTAAACAAAGATAACTTGAAGCCATTTAAAATGAAAGTTTTCAAATCGCAGTCTGCAATTTATGGAGGTAGCAGCTACGGACCAATCTTTGGAGGCAGTCATGACATATATATTAGTAATAATGCTGGTAGCAACACATACTCCTATACGAACCTTGGATATAGCTATGTACTGATTAAGGGCTACACAGCTGGATCAACTAAAGCACAGAACCTTCTTGCAGGATCGTACCACTTTCAGCCAGACGAGATCGAAGTGTTTCGGCAAGATGGCTTAGAAGTTTAGGGGAAAGAAACTCTAGCAAAACAAAGGGATCCCATCATATTATATATCGATGCCGCTTTTAACACATGCGATATTTGCAGGAAATAGACCTAATCGGCTAACGCGCTGCTATAAATGCTATAAACGTTTCCACCCAATTCAAACCATCCGGGAGTAAGTTTCATCGTTTGTTGTATTTTCATTTAAATTCTTAAAAACAAAAGTTTTTTTCACAAAGGATTTGAATTGGGTGATTTAAAATGTACATAGAAACGCGTTAGGTGAGTAGGTCTGAGCATTGAAATACTCCAATTTCGAGTTCTGGTTTACTCTGTGTTAGCCTCAAAACCAAGTAACATATTCTTTTGTTTCATTGATAGCTCGAGAAAACGCATGGAATTTTGTAAAGAAAGACAATGAATTTGACTTTTGAAATCTCACACTTTTTTTCTCACAATAAGGTATATTTTGCGCACAAATGAGCCTAACACAGAGCATTGGAGAATTCGAAAATGGAGTATTGTGATAGGTGGGCAATTTGCATATTTGTAATAAATGTACATGTATGGCGCATCTCTACTTATCTTTTAATATTNTGCTTATCTCATGCTTATGCTCAGTGAGAACGGGACTGCATAGGCATAAGCATAGCCTGGTACCGAAATAATACGCTCGTGCGCATGCTCAATGTCTTATGCTTATGTCGAGCCCGTTCTCACTGGCGCATATGATTCTCATGCTTGTGCTTATGCTATGCTTATGCGCTAGTGAAATCCACGCTTTAATAACAAGAAATGCGGAAACATCTATATTGGTGTTAGGAATAATGGAGAAATCTGTGGTGTTCGTGTCAAGAGAAAAGAGGTTGGCAAAATAGACCAAAGTCTTTTATCTCTCTTTGTTGTTTATTATCTGAAATAAATCTGTGTGAGGTTTTGTGAGCTTCTTTACACCTGAAGTCCTGTGTGGTTTATCATTGGCCGTTTTCAACCATTCCCATGAGATTCAAAAGATAAAAGATCGGCGGCCATGTTGGAGGAATAAACAATACATTCTTATGCAAATTCCTTTTCGTTTTATTTTTATGGTGTATAATCTAGACTATATTGCGCTATTTAGCGCTATTTGATTAGTACGATTTCACTCCTCTAGTGTTTGCATTAAACCACTTTGAGTGAAGGCAAAAAATCCTTGAAATAGGAAGCCCAAATAACTTTTTTCTTTTGGATCTATTTGACTTTAATAGGCAAGTTTTGTCTCACGTGTTTTTTAAATAACTTTCACTCTCTAATCATTCTTGTAATGGGGCTTGGGTTACTAACCAAAGAGACCAAATGGTAGAACGTACCAGGGATCTTTATTCGTCGTTACTTAGGTTCAAGTTACAAGTATACAAGTGTACAAGTGTGTTTCACATTGTGTATAGATTGTAGAACAGAATAGTGTATAACTACATCCTTCTGAGTATAATGTGTTCTTCCAACGGAATAATGGAATTGGAATGAGAATCGAATGGAATCTCTAGTTAGAGGTAGCTCTATTTATATGACCAAACTTGCTAAACTGGTTATTCTAGATGTCATCATGATAATGGTGAATATTCATTATCTGGCCATAATGTGAACTATTGACTCGTGAACTTCTTGTTCAAAAGAAACTATTTGTTAACCGGATTAACTGACAAAGCGTCGATGACAAAGACTTAAGTATTGAGTTTTACACAAACTGAGTAATAAGAATATAAGTCTTACTCGATCAAAGATAGATAAATTCTGACTCAAAGTTCGTAGTCAAACAAAACTYMATTGGTGACGCTTATTAGATATTCCAGATATAAAAGTTCTACTGCTCATGCGTTAATCACTGGTCAAAAACTGGTTTTTGACGACAGCTGAAATACAGAGTAAAATTTCTCATCCTGTACAAATAGTATTCAATTACGAGTGTTGGACAGAGGTGTTGCAGAATGTCAACAGATAACGTACCATAGAAATAGTAATTAAGGTCTTACTGAAAATCGGATGTTGCTATGACAACTGGAATAATTTACGTTGAAATCACTGATGGCCGTTCGAGCCCCTTTACATTCTTATCAATATTACTTGTCAAGATTATTAATTAACTGGTTGAGTAATATTTATTTTCCCTAGCGTGATCTTCTGCGTTTGGGTCTAGACGAGATGGTAGAAAGCTTCAAACCTCCATTGAGACATGACATGTACAAGGTGCGTACGAGGTGGCAAGTCTAAAAAACCAGAAGTACATAACAGCAAAAACTTAAAGTGCAACTGAACTCAATTGCTTCCAAAGATAAGAAAACCACCATGGAAAAATAAAATGTTTTTTTTGTGACTTCGTGGAAGTCGATTTTAAAAGAGCCTGTTTTTTAGTGAAACGTGCTTTCTGATTGGTTCAGAATAAAAGGTGGAAAATTTTCGTATGTTATTAAATCGCGTAAATGTAAATGATTGCACGTGGGCTTTTAAGTACTAACTAATTTATTAACTAATTATTATGTTATAATTATCTATTATGCTCTGATATAGCGATAGTTTCATGTCTTTATTAGATTGAGTTTGTCCCTGTTGCGAGACCATCAGGATCCGAAAGGTAAATCTATTCTTCGTTTTCACTATACGTCACACCGGTCATCTTGGAGGAACTTCAACAAAGGAATTCTCCTCCAACATGGCCTTCGGTCTTTTACCTTTGAATTCCTTGGGAATAGTTGAAAATGATCAATTGACTCTGTAGCAACTGTACTCCAGTTTTTAGGAAACACAAGTATGCAAACTTCATTAGTCAGCGGATACTGCCGTTAAAGCAATCTCGTAACCCCCAGAGCCCGCACTTTTGCCATCCAGCGGAAGTTAGCATACCGCTGACATTAGCCCTGAAGACATGAAATTAAAGTCTCTGTGACATTGCCATATTTGTTTGTAGTGTGGTTACTAGGAAACTCATTGAAGACAGATATGTTATTGAGATACTTCTGATCAAGTATACTGGATTGATTTACACCACCCCCCATGGGAAGTAAGTGTATTTGATTAAATTTTGATTTCTTCTTATTTTCCATTTCCATTTCTATTTTATTTAATTTTTTTAGCCTTTGAACTTCAACTATGTCATCTCTCTCGCCTCTTCTTCTTCTTTTTTTTGTTCTTGTTGTTTCTGTTGTTGATGTTGTTGTTCGTGTTCTTGTTGTTTTTGTTGTTCTTCCTGTTGTTGATGTTGTTCTTCTTGTTGATGGTATTCTTTTTCTTCTTCCCCTTCTTCATTTGACTTTCTTGTTTAGCTTTTTCATTTTTCTTGTCGTTTGTAGATGCTTCTTTCGTCACAAGTCAGCAAACATTGAGGTAAGATCTGTCAAAGCAAAGATTTTAGTTTGTTTATCTTTTTTTCTATTATGTAATAGATCAAACACGAGTGCGCGCGCTGAAGTTTTGAACCTTTTCCAAAATGGCCGCTTATCCAATACTCGCTATCTTTTAGCTCACGACTCAAGAGGTACGAGAGAGGACTATTCAAGAGCAAGAAACATCGTATAATGAAGAAATTAAGCGGTGAGTCAATGTAGATTATTACAGAGTATCACGCTTGTACCAACACGGCCGCCATCTTGAATTCTGTTGTTTTCTGTATCGATTCAATAAGAAACTATGAGATGCTAAGAGAGAACTAAACAAGACATTTCTAGATTCTACGGCGTCGAGAATCGCCGAGACTCAATATTGTA